ACAAGTGAAACTGAAAAAACTCCCCATTATGATTGGGTCACGCTATTGTTTTATCTCTGCAAAGATGTCTTGTATATTGTACACATGTTTATTTAATTAACAATTTAACATCTAGACTGAGCCAAGTCATCCAGGCACCATAACATCTTTAAAGTGTCAGGAATGTTCCCGTTAATTTTAAATTCTTGTTCAATACAATGGTCCAAACCAATAATTATAAAATATTCTATAAAAAGCAAGCAATTAAACTGGAGTCAATAAATGAACTAAATAATATATTGCAAAAAAACAAACTATTGTTTATATTAACAGATAAGACATTTCTAGCTCTGAAGACAATGTGACAAAGGACGTAGGAAAAGCTTCAATCCATTCAGAAAGCTTTGATTTCTTTGTCATTTCCCCAATATGTGTAGCGCCCCTGTTGGTCAAACAGGTTCGATTTGGATATATTGTTCATTGCAGTATGCTATATTTCTTATTTAGAACACTTATACGCATCCAGAGAAAAACAGGCTCTTGTTCGGTTAGACCATTCCGTATGATGTCATCAAGTTGAGTCTGAATGTACAAATCAATAAGAGATGAAGCTTGTTACAAGGCTACATCTCTTATTGAATTCTGCACATTGATTGGGTTGGTGTATGTTCACTAAACGCCAAAATGTAGCATTTAGTTTTCAGTTTTCGTGAATATTTAAACTCCCAGTAGTTTCATTACTAAAGCAGATATGCCCCAGGCCCCTTCTATTCTACAGTTAAAAACGGTTTACAAGCCAAAAGCTTTACTTTATTGAAGGAAACAATTAGCATAATTTTATACTATATTTACATTTAAACATGAGTGCCTTATTCCACCTAATGTCCCTCTAACTACAAAGGATCCATTAAATCTATCGTTGGACATGGTGACTGGCAGTGCCAGCATTAGTGTCTTTAAAGATGAGTATAAACGTGTACATTGGTTGGTTGTTTAAATATTTGTTCATGTTCAAATTGTGAATTGTTCTTCCATATTACACCTTTCTTGTACTTTATTCATGAACAAACTCTCCTTTTAGGGGTTTTAAAAAAATTTGAAGAAGAAGACTTAGATGAATGTTTAAGAAAAAGATTGAAGGATTCCAGCGAAGTTCCTGGTTCTTTGTGGCATATTTATGAGCAGAAAGATGCCGACAAAATAAGGGAATTTCTGCATAAGGTAAATTTGATAAAAGTTGAAGTTGTATTTGTTCAAATCCTATATTACAGATTCTTAAATATGATCTTGTTTGAGCAGGATCATAACATTATATTCATTCTGAGCCATTGAACATTGACGGTGCTTTCTAAATAAAAATGGGTAGGTCTGCTGAAAGATTGTTTTTGGTAAAATGGAAGTGGGGGTTTAAACCTGGAGGGGTTACCCTTCACCACAAACTGAACACTAAATATAGCATCCTGGTGTGGAATTAACTAGTGCCAAATAGTACAGTAAATGGAATGGAACATTCCACTTTGATATAGAAACTTTAAACACTGGTTTGTTATGAAGGATTTATTCGGTCATAATCAATTAAGAGGTTAAACACAACGCTGTGCAGTCAGTGGTGACTGCAGGGTTGTATTTTCAGTTTTATTCCTGTTAGCAGGAATAAATGTTAAAAAATTAAATAAAATATATAGCAAACTAATATTTGAATTTTGCTGTGAATTCCAGGCAATTCCGTTTAGTGAATAACCCTTAAAGGGACACTATAGTCACCAGAACAACTGCAGCCTATTGTATTTGTTCTGGTGAATAAGTCCCTTTAGGCTTTTTGGAGAAAACCTTGTCTTTTCAGAGAAAATGCAGTGTTTACATTACAGCCTAGTGATAACTCCACTGGCCACTACTCAGGTGGCTGCTACAGGTGCTGCATACTGTGCAGTATTGCCATTCAGTGACTTCACCCTCAGCATGCAGACTCTGAACTTTCCTCATAGAGATTCAGTGTATCTCTATGAGGAGATGCTGATTGGCCAGGGCTGTGTTTGGCTTGTACTGGCTCTGCCCCTGATCTGCTTCCTTGACACTCTCAGCCAATCCTATGGGAGAGCTTTGTGATTGGCTCAGAGAATCACTTCTGATGAGGTCAGGCAAGCAGGCAGATTCCACAAACTGAGCCCTTTTATTTAAAGCTACGGCATGGACACAAAGTTTGAACAACAAAATGCTAGCATGTGTACCGCGTTCTTAACATCTTGAATACAGAATAAAATAGTGGGTCGAAGGATGTGATTTTTATTTGATTTGCCCTGTGTAAAGATTTTGAAAGCTGTCTTTTGTTGATATTCATAAATAAAATAGTTGTCATTATTACACTACATCTAATACAATCCTCTACAACCTCATTTTATTTTAGGCTGCAAAAGAGCAATGTTTAGAAATTCTCCCTGATCATGACCCAATCCGTGACCAGAACTGGTACCTGAATAAAAAGCTCAGGCAAAGTCTGTTGGAGGATTATGATGTGAAAAGCTATACTTTAGTCCAGTTCCTTGGAGATGCCATCATATTGCCAGCCGGAGCAATCTATCAGGTAATGTATTGCATGCAAATCAGATGTACTGATACATGTTCTTGATTAATCTGTTACACTTGAAGCTTTATGTAACTGGTAAAAAAAAAAAAACCCTCCTAATATCACTGTATATAATATTTTAGGCTGACAACTTATCATATTGACTTTTGTCTAAATCGTATTAAAGGAGTATTCTAATGTTTGAAATAAATAAAGTTACCACATTTTTCCGGAGGGTACGCATTCTTGCCGCAGCTCTTTCTTCTCAAACTGAGATTATCACATCAATCATGTCTGGTCCAATTCACTGCTTTCCATAGGAAAGGATTTAAGACTAAAAGCAATTGCTTTTCTGAGAGAATTGTGGCCTTCAGTTGTGAATTGGCATTATAGCTTTTTAAGGTACCGGCTCCCCAACCCGAGCAGATGAAAAGTGTGAGATTCATAGTTTTCCTGTGGGAAAGCATTGGGAAACTAGTGTGCATGCATGCGCAGCAAAATGCTCTACTGCTACAGTCAGATGGTCTCTGCGACCATCTGATAGATTTTTACTCTGCTGTTTGGACAGAAGCACCTCAAGAGACATTTAAACCCTGCACTGTAAATATTACCGTTTCTGCAGAACGGCAGTGTTTGCAGCTGCAGGCTTAACACTACAGTGACATGGCACCCAGACTTCTTCATTGAGATTCAGTGGGCTGGGTGCCTATAGCATCATTATAACACTTCAAGCACGCTGATATGCATTAGATAAGTGGATTTTTTTTTTTTATATGGATCTTATATAAAAATGGCAGGTTTGTTTGTGAAATAATTACTATGCAGCATTCTAATCGGGTTTTCACCTATCTTCCCAACAGGTGCAAAATTTTCACAGCTGTGTCCAAGTGACTCAAGACTTTGTGTCCCCAGAACATCTTGTTCAGTCGTTTCATTTAACACAAGAGCTGAGGCATTCTAAAGAGGAAATAAATTATGATGATAAATTGCAGGTAAGGAATGACCAAGACACATTGTTCCTTAGACACATTGGCCATTTCCAATAATCAATTACTTTGAGTGATAAAGGAGACACTTTGCAAAGAGGAACACATTGAAATATCCCTTCAGTGTTATTCCCCATTGGAACAAGAACTTTTTTTAAAATTTATGATTGTTTTTACTTCTACAAAAAGAAAAAAAGCGTGTTTTTCCTCAACTGAGCCATTAAATAAATTCCTCCCATGTAAAATTGCACATCTGTATGTAATTCTTTTAGATATTTTGACCGTCAGCACATGTATCCTTCATTCTCTGGTTTTTAGTATCTCGAAAAATAAATTTCTTTAGTCTGCATTGTGCCAAGACAGTGAAGAGTCCCATGCACAATCTGTTTAACCCTTTCTCATCGTGTCACATAGTCACTCCTTTGGTACAATTTACGTTTATGTAAATTAGACTCAATATATAAAATGGTATCATTGTTCACTATACTGGGTATCCAACTAGGAGGAGGAGACATGGGGACAAATAGTCTTATAATCTCCTGCCGAGATGAAACGTGCATACCAGACTTCGAGCATGGTATATTCTTTATAATAGAATGTGAGTCCCCTCATCTAAAGAACACTAACCGATAATCACTGTATGAACTGTCCAAAATTCAAATTGATACCAAGATAGCAAAACAGGCAAATATAGCAGACTTTAATATATTTTTAGTCTGTACTTGGAGTAACCCTTTAAGGCCAGATTAACCAGGACCACTTCAGTTATTTGAAGTGATTTTGGTACCTGGAGTCTGTCGGCATCTGCACGTGCCAATATAAACCCCTCTGATCCTGGGTTGGCTAATGACTTTGCCAGAATTCTGAGCTGGCCATTATCAATTCTGTGCATATTTCTATGAGCAGCAGGATTGGCTTCTGGCTTTTACGGAGACCAGGAGCCCTAAGTCACCCAGCTGAGAGGACAAACCTTTGCAAACTTGGCCAGGGCACTCCTCACAGTTTAATTATTCTCTGAAGGTTTGTATATTATTACCTTATATTTGCGTGTTTAACATTCCTATCTGTATTTATTAAACCATCATATCCACACCACCTTTCAATTATCACAAAATAGCATTGCTTTGAAATAATGGCTGGGCATGACATAAATGATGGATTTCACATCACCCTGTTCCTTACTTACTATTAGCCTGCTTCCAAGTGGAGAGTATAGGGGTAGTATTGATTAAAAACCAAATTATACCAGATTGAGAACAGAATTTTGTCTAAAATAGCTAAATTGTGACACTAATGACGCTGGTGGATTTTTCTAACTCTGTTATGGCATTTGAATTAATGTTAATTAATCTCGGATCATCTGGTCAGTGATAGTGCCAAGTTTGCAAAAAAAATAAATAAATATGCAGGATCTGCAGCCTATGATCACAAGGTCTCTGGGCCATTGTATACTTGGTGCATTGGACCGCTGAGGGAGATCTTTGATCTACCTCATCAACCAATTAAGGTACTCTGCATCTGTCAGCCACTTGTTTTACCTTAAGGTGGCGCTGGTCCCATTGTCACCCAAAGCCGCCCACACACTCCCCAGTGACACCAGTGATACATTCATATTAATAAAACCTATAAAGATGTAAGACTCCATATAACCTGTATTTTCTCCCCTTTCATTTTCTTGGTATAGGTTAAAAACATATTGTACCATTCAGTGAAAGAGATGGTAAGAGCACTAAAAATCCACGAAGAAGAGATGGAAGACATGGACGAAGCCTAAATTTGCTGAACTGGGTTCAAAGTTCTCATACAGGGGAATACCAACACGCTAACTTAAACAAAGCATTGCAAAACATCAGTGCCAAGAAAATCTACTGTACTAGTGTTTTACTTGTTATTGACACCACAGCAGTATAACATTCGCTTTCACAGCTACTGTGATCGACCCTAGCAGAGCTGGGTAGTCCGCCAGCTTTCTGCAGTGCGTTGCAGGTCCGGCCACCTCTGCAATCGGTTAAACATTTACCATTTGAGTGACGGAGGTCCAAGCATTAGCAGTGCTTGACAGCATCCCGGCATTCAAAAGGGGGGTTTACGCGTCAAGACGTGCTTACAATTGTAAAATAGTGTACATTGAAAAGTTTGTGAAAAAAAAATGTCAAAAGATTTAAATGTATTTATTTTTTTGAAAAAAATAACAAAAATTTGAAAAGTTCTACGCTATATTGTTGATCAAATGTAAATGTGACTTGTATAGTTTGCTAAAATAATTTGGATATTTTTCACTACATTGAGACAGTAACTGTGAGGGTAAAACAAATCACCAGCTATTGCCTGCATTCGGGAGCATTCATGACATAATCTTAAAGATTACTGCCAAATAACTGTAAACGTTGTATATTCTAAAATAGAACACGGTATTAAAGGACAGACACTTCAATGCTTTGTTGAAGCTTACTCAATGTATAATTAGACATTTACAAAAAAGATGTAATTTATTTGAAACAAGTTGTCTCATTTTGGTAAAATTTATGTGAAACTTTTGAAGCTAAATATTAAACTTAATATGCTATGTAAATATATACATATATACATTCAATGATGTATTTTTTTAAAACATTGGCTTGCTTTAATTTGTTAAAAGGTGCAAGTGTTACACATGCTTTGTACATTAAAAGTTGAAAGGGGTTTTACATTTTCCATTAAAAAGACTTTCTCAAACATCTACTTGTTGCAGATGTGTATGTTATATTATACTGGCAGATTAGGAAATTTACAGGTTTTAGAATTAAAATGGATGGTCTTGGTTCAAACTAAGCCTACAAAATAGGAATTCCTATATAACCAAGACTTGCTGCTTCTGTTAGTAGACTGACCTCTCAAGCCCACTTAGAAAATACATCTCTTGTACAGAATTGTACATCTTCAAACAAGCAGTCAAAGTTGGCTATCTCCATCCAATATAATGAATATGAATGCAAATAAATGCATTTTCTTTTTTAATAGATGAATAAACAAGACTAATCATCGAACGTGTGTCTCTATGGCAGTTTTTCCCGACTCTTATTCATCTCCTTGAATGCTGTCTACAATTGGGTTTCTGTTGCTCTCACTTTAAAGGGATAATGTAGGCAACTGTGATTGCTTCTTCTCATTGAAGTGATTAGTGTCTACAGTATCCTAGCACCATCCTTTTATGTTAGTTAAGATTCCCCAGAAGCTCATCCCCCCTCTGTGCTGCTCAGACTAATGAGAAAGCAATGGGCAACTGCAATTGGCCCATTCAGGTATGTATTAATATGGGTAGAAGGAAGTGTATAATCTCTGCCTTAGCCACACCTCTAGCGGTGGCAGGTCTGTGGGAAGCCAAGGGACCCTCATTCAATGCTAAACTGCTCAAAAATGTCTTAACATGGACAGGGGACTCCAGTCAATATACCCACCCCTTCTTATTAAATTGGTTGTAGTGACTACAGTGTCACTTTAACCCCTTAACGACGGGTGACGGACGAGGTCCGTCACAGAAGGGAAACCCTTAATGACAAGTGACGGACCTCGTCCCTCACACGGTAAAATTAACCCCGGATCGCCGCTACCGCGGCGTTCGCGGGGTTAATGGTGCTCCGGTATGCCTCTGCATTAGAGGCATACCGGGAGCACCCGGTCAGGCTGCCCAGCACATGTGCTCGCTCTGACCGCAAGTCAGAGCGAGCACATGTGCTCTGTATACTCACCTACCGGCTCCCTGCACTTCCGGGTTCTGTGTGAAGTGCAGGGAGCCGGAACAGTGATGATCCTGCCCCCTGCTGTTAAAAAAAAAAAAGTTAATTTAAAGTCCCCCCTTTACCCATTTTAATAAAAAATTAACCCCTTCCCTGCCAATTGATCACTGACTACAGTGATCAATTGGCAGGGATTACATTTTACTATGATCTGATTTTTTTTTTATTTTTTTTTTAACCCTCGGGTTAAATTTATTTATTTAATTCAAATATTTTAAAATTATATTTAGCTAGCTGGGGTGGGTGGAAGTTAGTGGGGAATTGGGGGATTTGGCGTTAGGCTAACTAGGGGTTAACGTTAAAAATTAAGCTTAAAAAAATGTTTTAATAACGTTTAAGTAAAAAAAAAAAACCTTTACCTAGTCCAAATAAAAATTAACCCCTTCCCTGCCAGTCGATCACTGCCTACAGTGATCAAATAGAGATCACAGTATTATACTGTGATCTAATTTTTTTAACCCCTGGGGATTAACTTTTTATTTATTTTTTAACCCTCAGAGGTTCAATTTATTTAATTAATTAATTTAAATATTTTATAACTATATATTTTGCTAGCTGGGGTGGGTGGGAGTTATGGGAAAATGGGGAATTTACTGTTAGTGCTGCGTACTGCTAGTTAGGGGTTAACGGTAAAAAAAAAAAAAAAGCTTAGAAAAATGTTAAATCTGTAAAAAAGTTTTAAGAAAGTTTAGGAAAGTTTAAAAAAAATTAATAAGCAAAACAAAAGTTTAAAAACTAGTTTTTAAAAGTAAAAAAGTTATAAAAAGTAAAAAAATACATTTTAAAAATGCTCATTACCACTACACCTGGAACAAACTAGAGAAAAAATTATCCCACGCCAAGGTTCAAAATATGCCTTTTGAATTACCCCAGGGTGTATTCTTTAATAAATAGTATGTGTTTGTGGGGAAGTTTCAATAACCAACCGTCTAAACTACTCCAAATTGGAACATGGACACAGCGTAAAACTTCAAAGTTAGAAAAAAACTGAATGGCTGCGTCTCAAATGCGCCCCTTCAACATCCACATATACCTGGCAAAGGTACATACAGGGGTATTGCTGTACTCAGCTGACATAGCTGAGCAACATATGAAGTATTATACAGTCATAGCACACATAAGGTTTGCAAAATATGCTGCGCAAACTCACTTTGTATGTCAAAAAGGCAGAAAAAATGCTTATTACCACTACACTTGGTACAAGCTAGCGGAAAAATGATCCCACGCTAAGGTTCAAAATATGCCTTTTGAAATACCCTGGGATGTCTTCTTTAAGAAATGGTATGGCTTTATGGGGTATTTGGATTATATAGCCTGGTAAAATACTCTAAAATGGGACATAGGCACAGCATAAAAATTCAAAGTTTGAAAAAAACTGGAATGGCTGTGTCCCAAATGTGCCCCTCCGATGTCCACACATACCTGGCAAAGGTACATACGGGGGTATTGCTGTACTCAGCTGACATAGCTGAGCAACATATGAAGTATTATACAGTCGTAGCACACATAAGGTTTGCAAAATATACTGTGCAAACTCACTTTGTATGTCAAAAAGGCAGAAAAAACGCTTATTACCACTACATCTGGTACAAGCTAGCGGAAAAATGATCCCACGCTAAGGTTCAAAATATACCTTTTGAAACACCCTGGGGTGTCTACTTTAAGAAATGGTAGGCCTTTGTGGGGTAGTTTGAATTTAAAACCTGCAAAGATGCTTGGAAATTGCACATAGGCCCAGCGTCAAAATTCAAAGTTTGGTAAAAACGGATATGGCTTGGTCTCCTATATGGCACTGTAGCTTCGAAATAGTGCCAAAGACATTCATTGGGGGTGTCTTTTTACTCAGAAGACTTAGCTGAGCATAATTTGAGGTTTGAACTTAGTGGCACATATGAAATATACAAAACGCCCAGCAAAAATGCAATCCGTATGTACAAAATGCACAAAATATTTTTTTACCACATACTTTGGCATATATTGGTGAAAAAATGGGGGCATGTTAAGGCACAATATGCACCTTATAAGATACCCTGGAGTGTCTCATTTTACAAATGGTAGGCCTTTGTGGGGGGGTTTTTGAACAGTCAAACTGTTATAATACCCCAAATGGAAGCTAAGGCTCATTAAATCCATCTCTCAAAATTCTACTGTGAATACTGTAAAGGACAGGTCTTCTATATGGCACTGTAGCTTCACGAAATAGTGCCAAAGACATACAATGGGGGTGTCATTTTACTCAGCAGATGTAACTGAACACAAAATAAAACTTTGTACAGGAATAGCACACACCAACTTTACAAAATATACACGAGAATTTCTTTGTTATAAGTTTGTGTGCCAAAAACCAAAAAAAACACAATTTTACTCCAATATTTAGCAGAGGTTGGCGGTGAAATGGCTACGTAGAAAGTGTCAAAACAACCTTAGGTAAATAGCCCGTGATGTCTACTTTATATAAATATATACTTTTGTGTGGCAATTTTGTTTTCTTTTATGGCTATTAAGCTTACAAGACAAACATACCAAATTCTAAAATCGCTCCACATTAAAAGTCTATTTTACTCCTTGTGCTTTGTGACCTGTAACTACCAAAAAAAAACTTAAAATCCCAGACACAATTGTACATTTTGTAAATCAGAACAACTAAATTAATTTATTTTTAATTACTTTTCTTAACCTGCACTAATTATGCACACATTATTATTGCAAAAACTGTAAAAAAAAAAAAAAAACAATTTTTTTTACATTTTTCTGTATTTTTTTTATAATAAATAAGCATTTATATATATGTGTGTTACATCAAATTAAAGCCCTTTCTGTCCTTTAAAAAACGATGTATAATATGTGTTGGTGCAACAAATTAGTAAAATGCAAATTGCAGTTGAACGCAAACAGCAAAAAATGAAAAAAATGCCGTTGTCATTAAGTGAAAGATAAGCTTTTGAAGCTCTGTCCTTAAGGGGTTAATGGTAAAAGCCCTGCATATAAAAAGCACATACGATGTGCGCAGTGTTTTCACTATAGATTGTCATGTCCATTTCTCACTAGTATGAAATTTCCCCTCCCCCCATGAAGGAGTCATTGCAGATTCGCAGTGGTAGTAACCAGAAAATAATCTCCACTAATTTAAAGAAGGATGCACTGCAACAATTACCAATAGCTTCACACTAAAGGGTTTCTTCAACCCTTTTTCAGTTTTATCAGAAATTCAGAATAATGTCCCATTTGCATTATTCTGTAGGTCTCTCCAAAACAAAACAAAATTAGGTTTTTAGTCACCTTAATCCAGCACTGCTTGTCGCACCCTCATCTGACATTACAGGGGCCGCACTGACGTCCACCCAAAGGCTTCTCTATGAGAGGCCCTTGGCGGGAGGATTTAACGGGCTCAGAGCCTGCATGTGGAGGAGAGAGGGCAGAATTTAAACAAGCTTCCACGCAACGGATTACGAGGCAGGCGGTCTTTTCTCAGTGTGGGTTGGAGGGAGGGGAGACGAGAGCGGAGAAGCACTTAAACTGGCAGTGTGCACTGTGCCAGGACGACAGATGTAATTTATGCACAGAATTGACGCTGACGCAAGCAGAAAACAGACTACTAACAAGACCACTTCAAAAAGTAGAAGTGGTCATAGTGGCTGGAGTAACCCTTTTAAAGGCCCACATTGTATTTTCAGAGACATTTGTTCCATTTAGCGCACCCTATATTGCAAGGGGAACCTATAATGTACAGGGTATGTGCTGATTGATTCAGGTATATATTGCATCCCAGGGAGAATGAGACAGAATATTATTTTTCCTC